TTTCAAACTGATGTGAACAGAACGGCCATTCGATCACTAATCAACATAGCCGATGTGATCTGCACTAATGAACTATCCAAAACAATACAGATTTCCCAAATGAAAGTAACGTCAACAGCCAACCAATATACGACACTTTTATTAAAAGCACTGTTGAAGCATACAAATCAAGGAGACCAAATCATTCTTGTACTGTGCCAATACATTATGGTGAAGGAATGCCTGAAAGAAATTCGCTCCGTTCTCTGTAAGTATGTCATTCAGGCCGTACTTCCGTTAGTTGATACCACAGAAAAATTGGTGATATACTCTATGAATTCAGTATCCATAAACTGCCAGACAAACTGCGTTCACAACATAAAATTCAGTGATCGCGATGTCACTCACATAACAGAATAAAGCAGGTGATTGGCAATATGTGCTGCTGAACACCAGAGACAATCCGTCCCCTCCAAAAGACACATATCACCTTCAAAAGGTAGAAACAGATTCGGCCATCACTCCGCATACACTGTCGGAGAATCAGGGAGTATGTTTGTTCAAGCTTGGCCGAGTCATAAAGACCTGTCTTCCTAGGCGAAGCGATGCCGTGCGGAAGCTGTCACTATTCACACCCAAAGCGGTTGCATCAACTGCAGTCATACGGAATCTCTATCCGCAGTATGGTGTGGGTCGGTGAATAAGGCCAGACCCAGACACCTCTTATTTGCCTCAACCTCAATTCCACTTAATGAGCAACGGATTCGGCGAATTCTTTCATACGTAACGCAACGAAAGACCTCTATTGCTTTGTTAGTGTAGCAATCTTGATGAAGACCAACCGATATGATTGGAGTGTTGAGTAATACAACTTGCTCGTAACGCTGTATTCATCCCAATCCCTTCATTGAATGTACGTCAAACAAGGCGTTCAAACTGTTTGACTTAATTCTTACTAACTTACCTATGGATCTTTAACAGTTACTAAAGTCACAGTGCAATTTCGAAATAAACTGCAAAGTGCGAAAATCTGAGTCACAGAGTTAGAGTTGTCCGGCGTCTCTCGCGTGCATATTCCTCAATAACATTTTCACGCATGATATGTCCCTAGTTCTCTTGTTAAGGAGTTTTACAGTTCGTTGTAAGACGGTGAAGTGAAGACAGTCTAAGCCAAAATATTCAACAAGATTTTACTGACAACTTCCCCGACCTAAATCGACTACTGCTCTACACGTTCGAGAGTAGGCTGACCAGCGTATGTGGGGATTCTCCAGGGCTAAAGAAGCTGACGCCTATTATTCGTCGAATCAAAAGATTTCTTCATTCATAGTCTTGTTCACGGTGCACCTAAACCAACCTGGCGAGTTGAATAAATTATTGCTGAGTTGTAGGATTAATTATCTAGCATAGGTGTTTTCTACTCTGCTACCTTATTTCGAGCACTGGATTTGTCTTATGTACATTACAATATATGCTCGTCACTGCTGGAGGTCAGCTGTTCCAGACGGAGTCGATAATTAATATTTAAACTGATGCATCTTGCCTAGTAAAATAGGTGAGATATTGTTAACGTTGGCAGACATTTCTGCTGATACAGATGTAGAATAGTATAAACCATCGTATTCTGGCATCACTGTGAAAGATTCTGTTTGTTGAGTGTTAATTCGAAGAGTGAACATGTTCAAGCTATGTTTAAGTCAATGAGATCAGGCTACTGCTTTTTCCGAGCGTTTATTCAATACATCCAAGTATTTTTCACGAGTTTCACACTTCGTATTCAGGAAACACGGATAAAATGCAAAGGAACCTATCAGTTTATGTAAAATTCCCGAATCGTCTCTTGTAAGTCTGTCGGCCAGAAGACCGGCAGAAGTGTAACTAACGGAATGATAAATTATAGTGACATGAATATATGGATTTTGCCGTTTGTTTTTCTTTCCTGTCCTACTTATTCATTACCAGATGAATCGATTAAAACTAGAATGAAGTTAAGGTATAAAATGTATAATTTGATGTTATTTCGTTAACTTTGTATTAGCTATTCTTGATGAGTACCGTACACAATATTTACTGGAAATGTGCATTAAGGAAAACAAAGTAGTTTCGATTATCACTGAAGTAGAAAATTTGGTAACGAAATTAAGTGTGGCACAATGTTACTAGCCATACAGATGTGATTAATTTACGGAAACAAAGACTGTCTCGTTGATTTTTTTTAAAGAACTTTAAAAAACGTACCGTATCCAACATTTAATAATTCGTTGTTTCTCTTGTAATAGGGTAATATGTTGCTTCATCACGTATCTCTTACAGTGTATTGTGATAATCGTGGGGAAGGGGGGGTTCACTAACTGCTTCAAAACAGTCCGCTAAATAACGAAGATTTTCACAGTTGTCACTTGTATGTTACCTTATCTAATGTGATTGGTTTGACAAATCAATACTTTTGACATTTGTGTTCCCATGATGTAGTTTTCAAACACGGTAAATGGACAAGTGTTACAAGGTGCTTATACCGCCTGCATAACTCCATTGATCACTTATAACAACTCATGACAATAAGGGGAGAAATTCAAGATTACACATGCTACTGAAATCAAGGTCATTTTGATGGCACTAATAATGACTGTGTCAACAAATTTCGTGCATAGGTAAGTAGTTTATACCGTTAGAACAGTAAAACCTCTGTAAAAATCAACAGTCAAGTCAACAAAATGAATAGTGTGTAAGTGGGATTTATCAAGTGAAGATGATGGGCACCGGTTTAGCCGTTGAGCTGGTAATGGCATCTACGACAACGCCTTCATTAATTACACAGATATGCGATTCGTTATCTGTTACTGTAGTCTTCGGTCTATCCTACCAATTTACTTTCAATGAAATTACGGTTAAATTGGTAGATTGGGTACGATCCGAATTGATAATCGTTTAACATACAAAATCGATAAATCACTAGAAACCAAGCCATCTAATACTCTACAAAACAGCAGATAACTTACGTTGTTTCAATAACCTCCCGTGAAAATATACGTGGATTTAGCGGGCTCTTTTTTATACATCTTTTTGCTTAGAGTTATATCTGAAAAATCGAGTTCTCTTCATCCACTTCATGAAGACGGCAAGAAGACATACATTGCGAGATGCAAGCATTTCCTTTATCCTCATCAGTCTATCACACAAAACATTCAGTTATATAGGTTGAGCGCTTGGCGATAAAACAATGAAATGAACGAACATCATATGGGAGTAATCAGGGTTCACTGCCACGGTAATGAAACTGATTGCGTCAGTACCTTTTGCCGGTGCGTGATGTCTGATCAACAAAGCTTCGGAGAACACCAACAGCCGACAGTTATATTATTTTAGATAGTTTAATTGCACATCAGGACCTCATAGTGTATTAGGAATCGTCATTTTCATGTGAAACCCGCAAAATAATTTCACTAAATACTCACTTTGCCTCACAGATAACTTACATGTGTCAAGTGATGTAGTCGCTGGAAACTTATTACATGTCATAATTGGAACCTAAATGCTTATTCAGGATTAAATATCAGCAAAAGTTTGAAATATATATTCCACTTTGTTCTTATATAGTTTACATTTGTCATTTACCCCAACTATCCATTTAACTGGCCGGACACTGTTACGACAAACTGTATTGCTTCCAAGAGCTTATATAAGAAATTAGGTTTCCATGGTACCCAATCGAGCACAGCAGTACTCAATTTTGCGGGAAAGGTTTTCGGATGTTGAGCAGAATAACGCTTAAAGCTAACTACGTACGACGAATTAACTTTAGTTTCACGTAATGCACCCGCTGCATTGTTTGCCGCATCTATACATTGTGGGATCGCCTGCAAAGCGTAGGTAGAAGAGTAATCCCAGACCACTTTAGATTGAAGAATTTATTATAGTCAAGAAACTGGAGTCACCGATTTCCAACTACTTCGTCTGAGAGCCTGAGTTTGTATGGGTTTGTGAACTTACTTCTAAATTAGCAATTCGGCGTTTCAATTTCAACTCTGACGGTGTCGATGCGGTCAGAAGATTGCCTACATTCTAAGATTCACACGATTGTCTTTGTCAGATTCCTTCTGAAAAGTTACTTCAGCAGGAAATTTGTCCATGGTTTCTGTTTTAGTGTCGACCATTAAACATGGCAATAAAATAGTTTAAAATATCCAATTAACTGCACTTCTGTTTTTTTGCACGGGTCAGAAAATTATCTTTTACAAACGGAAAGGTTTTTACTGTTCAGCTAGAACGTTTCTGTAATGAGTCATCAGCCCGCCAGGCATGAGTTGTGCATTCGTGAGAGCGTCACTTGTAACAAACCGCAAACTTCTACTCACAAGGATAGATACCAAAAACACTGAACAATGTGTCAAACACCGAATTTTGTATTTGAAAGATAGTTTATTTCAACTCAAGTAACTGATCAAGTTGGTTAATTACGGTTTGCGTGACCAGACTATGAATACATTAGTTGAGGATAAGCGTTACGTGATATCGTTAACCGCGAGCGATTTTCTGTGCACGTTTTTGGTTTGTTTGTAGTTGCCTTGAAGTTTTAGTTACACTAGAAGTTAAACCGAAGCTAAGTGTGAAAAATGTATGCTTCTATTCAAGTCACACTAAAAAGACTGTTGAAACTAGGGCGTAATCCATTCCTTTTTCGAATCTGGAGCATGTTTCAAGGAATCCGGTAAACCTACTTTTGTGACTTGAAGGAAGTAGGTCCTAACCCCATCCACTGAAAATCGTGTTTAACGACAGCATTCAAGTCATATTTGTTACATCGTTGTTGTACTCAGTATTGAAACAGATTTAACGTTCAAGCCCATTATTTCACGAACAGCCAGACAAGTTGTACTACAATATACTAATTGTTTACGAACCCAGTTTTGTTTAGATTCGGCTGCTTTTCTTAGTTATTTTCATTTCATCTCACCATGTCAGGCATATATGCGGGGGAATGAGTTATCATTTTTTGGTTGAGAACAAATTGTGAAAAATAAGGGCTTCGGCTGGATTCGAACCAACGACAGACAAACCATGCCTCAAGGCAGCAAGAGCTCTACTAGCTGAGCTCTCGAAGCCACACCGGGAGCTTGAAAATTTCACATTTGAACTCGATTACTCACTCGTCTCATTCTCTCATATGGAACCTATCAAATGATCCAGGGGATCGACTGTCCCCGGAAGGATTTCTCGAACAGTTCGCTCTGGAATCAACCAACGCCAGTGTTGAATCTGTCAAACTACTCATTGGTAACACAACGAGTTATCTGTTTAGATCAAGTGTTCAGAGGAGAACCAAACGTTTCAGTTTTGTTGTGCTTTTGATTGGGAGCGGTAAAAGAAGCCTAGTGTGAAGTGACGTTACTCTTATCTCATTGTTAATTAGAGTCATAGTGCTTAATTTTATTGCTTTATCATGCGCTCGTTCCACACAGATATTGACGAGGTTACCATTTTGCTCTGCTACGGATGTTCTATATATAGCTGTATCAGTATATCCAGAAGGAACGTTTTGGAGTATTCTTTATGTAATTTTTGAGCGAATAACTATTTACTAACCTAATCAGTTACCCTCTCAGTAGCTGGAGTAATTTGGTCAGTCTTCAAGAAATCCGTCAGGAATGCGTCATGGAATGAATCAAACAGTTATTCTGAGGAGGAATGCAATACTTTACCCCAAACTTTCTTTCATAGCGTTCAACTTATTTTGGCAGGCGCGTTTTTCCTAGCTGTATACAATTTAATTTCAAAAATGAGATTGTAACACCAGGTTCATGGTGTATCCGTAACTTTTGAAAGATAACTATTGAAATAACGTGGAAATTCAGATTGTTTTCAGATTGTAGAAAAGTTTAAAATTTAAATTAACAAAACCTCCTCAGTAAAATTCTTCATACGATAAACTATTTTATGCTAACAACAACAAGACTGTGAACCATAATTAATTTGGTTTGAAGCGTGGTAGTCATGGTGATCACATATTGAATTGACTGTTTTTATAAATAAGCTCCAGAAGTGTCTACTATGATAGCTAAATAAATTAGCTTGTTTTACACAATGGATATGAAATTTCAATAACAGAATGCACGCATGCGTAAACATTTTAAACTGTAAACAAAAACATCCAGTATTAGTCTTCTTTCACAGAAAAGAAAGGCTGTCGTAAAAAATGTGTAGGATCTCGGTCTGTTTCATACTGTTGTATAGATGTATAATGTTACTCAATAGAATATCTGAATCACCTTTTGTTACTATGTAGCCGAAACACACGATTGTAGCTCTGGCTGCGATTAGCCAATTGTTCTTGGTACCCAGTGCACCTCAACAACAAGTCTGACTGAACGAATGACAACATTGTCACTTACTAGTTTGTGAGCTATAGTGGAACTGATAGATCGGGTCAGGTATTGATAGCACTTGTATGGAGTGTGTGCAAGCTCAAACTGCCTAAAAACCTAGCTGACACTTCAAGGCGACAAGATGAAGTTGCCAGAGTGACGTGTCAAAATTCCCTTGAAGCATGAGGCAGGCTTTAAGGTTTCTGTTTTTCATTACGTAGTCAGATACATCTGATTCCGAAATCCACCGAAGATATAACGGAATCTAAATTTGCAGTCACTAGGTCATTTGGGACTTATTTTAGCAGTTTAATTCACATTTAGTAGAGGGCTTAGATCAAGGCAACTTCCAAAAATCGTTGATGTAAAAACAGGAATTCATCACAATTTTTCACTGCATTTCCAGAACGATGATTCTTTTTTCTCACCGTACTATCAATGACATAGAGCAATAATACTTCTTAATTGAGCGCATTATATATGTGACCGAGTACTACTTTTCCGTACACTTTATTGGAGCAGTTCAAATTCATGGTATAGATGAATTTGAATTCGAAGTTAGTGTGTATCGAAAATTAACTATCATATAGTGGTATTGGAAATAGCAGTGATAATGATTTACAATTTCGAGAGTAACCGGAAAGTTAAACAGTTTGGTTTAATCCCTACTATATTTGCTCATATATTTTCAGATGTTTTTTTAGTTGTATACAGAGAATCTTTGAGTTATCGAAGTGAACAGAAGTTTTACTGTAATTACTGAGTATTATTGAGTGTTCGCTGGTGATGCGTCCCAGTCCCTACTGAACATGAAGCAAATAATTTGTAATTAAGGAATATTTTCATGCATCTTTTCTTTCATGGTAGCAGATTTCCTCCTAGGCAGAATTTTACTTATTTTCTTACTGGGTAACTCAGTCAAGCAATACAAACCTATTTATCTCCAGAAGAGGAAATTGAGTGTTTTCATCGGATCCTATCAGTCACAATTGTGAAAAGTGATTCCAAGCATATAGCACCATTCCCCAAATAAAGTGAATTATTATCATAGAAACATCAGTGCAAGTCTGATAATGTCTCACACCCGAGCGTTTAGTTGAAACCAGCCGAGCAGTTTCTCACTCGAAAACGTTAATGAATAACCGAACTTGACGAAACATTATAAATTCTAGAGTGTGTGGATACCGGCTAAGAGTCTGAATGTTACATTGATAATTTTTCTTCAACTGAAGACTTTCTATGCAATAGGTTGTCGCCTTATGAACAGGTGATGCGGTTATGTTAAGGGCGGATACATTCATTAGTGTACAGCTTGTCTCATTATTGCTAGGGAGCACCGTTCATTAAGGATTGTTCATTTGCTTTCGGCAAGGTCACAAAGGTTTGAACTGGTAGTCACAGCTTTTCATAGCGATCACCTTCGAATCTGCGCCAAACAGCGTTTCGTTAATGCATAGAATCATCAGATATGGTTATTTTGCAGGGCAGATTTAGTTAGTGGCCTTCTGGTTACATTTCGAAACGTTTAACTGCTCAGTTATTGGATTTAGTTTCATTTCTTTTCAGAGGGAGATGAGTAAAACTGGTATTTTCTTTGTACATGCTTCGTTAGTGTGAACAATTAAAGTTAATCCCGCATTGTCCAGTGGCACTCGCTAAAACTACAAAGAAATTGAGTGCAGATTATTTTAGTTCATATTATTTTCATCGTACGAATGAAAGTAAAAACCGACCAGGAGGTGCCAGTTTGATGGTAATTGTTATAATGAATTTTCATGGATGCAGCTAAGAACAAACTAGCACTGAGATCAACCTCATTGATGTTAACCTCTTAAATACTGATTTAAAGTATTTCGTTATAAGTTAAAAGTCTTCATTTCATTTTATTCCCGTCAGGTTTGCCGAAAAGTTATTTTCGGCCATTTAACTGTAAGCGTTTTAGTAGTCAGTCTACAAATAAATGCGTTTAGGCGAATTGCTGCTCTTTGTTTCTTTTCTCGTAAACACTCAGCATCCGGCGTACATCTCTAGCCAGCCACCGAACGATACTCATTGTCATCAGCGCCCGTAACTAGATGCTTTCAAATGAACTCAATTGTTTCCTGATAAACTTTCTATGTATGACTAGGCTAGAAAGAAAGATAATATCGTCCTCATCTTTTATTAAGTGTATAATGGATTCAGTGAATCATGCCATACCATGCGGGACTAGAGGAGATCTACGAAAATTCCACTTTGACGGACGTGGTTCGAAACAATGGTCGTTTGCTCATAAGCGAGTGTTGGACAAATGGGCCTAAGTAGGCTCAAAAACATGAGCTTTGTGTGAAACCCAAGCAGGGAACTATGCACATAAAAGTTGGACAGTCAGAAGACGTGCATCCAATTACGAAGTTAATTGTGTTTTGGAAAAATATTTTTTTAGGCACATAGGCTACTTTATTAAATTCAGAAAATTATTGTCTCAACTTAATTGTGCTGAATACGAAGTTTCTTATTCCAAATGACTACCATATTCAACCGCCTTCAACAGATAATCAGGTTGAGTCTTTGCTTTGACAAGTATAGTTCTGTAAAGGTGCTACTAGTATACTAATCTATAAACTGGGTACATGAGCCTCAGCTAGATGCGCTGACAAGTCTACCTATTCAGTGGAACAGTAGAATTCCTCACGTATATCCACTTAATATGTGTGTATCCTAATTTTTGTAATACCGTTGCTAATCTGTTTAATCTGTTACTGATAAAATAAAATTTAATGATGAGTAGTAGGGGATTTTTATTTTTTATATAGACTGAACATCACCCACAATTGATCGCAGCTGTCGCATTCCCATAGACTCTCCAGTCGGCCCGTTTCGAACAGCAGAAGCACTAGACTCGAGTTTCGCTCTCATTAGAGCTCATCAGTAGTGCATATCATCGCCAATTACCTCACGTTAGGCACAACCGAATTATCATATGTGAACACTCAACCACTTTCGCTTGTAAGTAATAATCAGGTTGCCCGAACGCCTCGAAAGGAGACAGAGTAACTGTTCTGTTAACTCCAATCGATGACCTCTCGACTAGGCGAGAAAATGCAGTACTGATGAACTCTAATGAGAGCGAAACTCGAGTCTAATGCTTATTTTCGAAATGGGTCGACTGGAAAAGTCTATGGGAATGCGACAGCTGCGACCAGTTGTGAGTGATGTTCAATCTGTATGAAAAATAAAATTTCCCCAAAGCTTTGTGTATCTTACATCAAATAAGCTTAGCCTTTTGCAATGAATTTACCTATTCCTATCTTTTTAGAAACGATCAATAGCAGTGCTCAATATTTCGTCTCGTAATTTTGCTGGGGAGCAGAAACGGCAGTTACAGAACGAGACTAACTTATTTGTACACGTCTACTCCAACGGGCTTCAAAATGGAGCCGGAATTTTGGCAATATATTTTACGAATATTAGTCGCCTTATTTTTGAACGCTAATCGTTCTACAGTTCATCTTATAGATTTGCAAAAGAGAATGAAGTGACTGGCAGGTTCTTGGAACTTTTGATAGAAAGAATAAGTCTAGTTGCCATTAATCGATTGAATAAGTGAATTGGCACTAAAGAGTGATTAACCTGAGAGATATTTATCCAGCTTTGTAGTAATTATAGCAAACAATTACATTTCTATCCAACTGCCAGACTTATAGATTGACTAGTTAATAGTGAAACAGTAATTATTGCGAGTAAATATTAAAAAACTTA